TCTCTTCTTGTCGAGGATGAGTTTTTGGAGTAGAGGGCTGCTCATGTCTTATTGAAGGCTAAGGGAGGATCAGACTCTTCTTTTGAAGATTGAGAAGCTCAGTGCTCACTTCTTGAAAGCTATCTCTCTTCTATCCCTTGAGGAGGAAGAGGGGACGACAAGGGGCTCCTCTCTCTTCTTGTCGACTGAGAGGCAGCCGGAGTTCTTTTTTTCTCGTGACGTTGGAAGGGTTCTCTGCTCCTTTGAGATGCTGCCGTAGAGGATGTGCCAAGGGATCTCTTCCTTACCCTTTTGGGGAAAAGAAGCTCATTTCTTGCGGATGACGAAGCAGCGAGCTCCCTTCATTTTATCGTCAGAGGAGATGATGGGAGGAAGCTCTCAGTGATTTCTTGTGGAGGATGAGGCAGACAATCTTTCTTTTTGGAAGCTAGGGGAGCGCTGTCCTTTCTTGCTAGGAGCGAGGTCTCTTCAATCTCCTTAAGACGAAAAGGCGACATACCAAGAGGTAAGAAGGATGCTCTCTTTTGGTGCCACGAATATCCTGGGAACTCTCTTCTTGTTTTGGAGCATGAGGTCTTTTCCTTTTAAATGCTGAGGGATGAAAAGATGTCTCTACTTGAAAATTGGGGGAGCTCCACCCTTTCTTCTTGAGTGTCCTCCCCTTTTCAAGAAAGAAAGGAGGTCTCTTCTTGCCGAGGGGTAAACGGAGCCCTCTTCTTTCTCGTGAAGTTGGAGCGGCCTGTTTGCTTTGTTGAGAGGGCGCTTTCTTTTGTCTCATTAGTTTGGAGGAAGCTCTCAGTCTCTTCTTGCCGAGGATGAGGCAGAGGATTTTTTTGGAAGCTAATTCAGAGGATGGGGTAGAGGGCTGCTCATGTATTATTGAAGGCTAAGGGGAGGATCAGACTCTTCTTTTGAAGATTGAGAAGCTCAGTCCTCACTTCTTGAAAGCTATCTCTCTTCTATCCCTTGAGGAGGAAGAGGGGACGACAAGCAGCTCCTCTCTCTTCTTGTCGACTGAGAGGCAGCCGGAGGTCTTTTTTTCTCGTGACGTTGGAAGGGTTCTCTGCTCCGCGGTAGAGGATGTGCCAAGGGATTTCCTTACCCTTTTGGGGAAAAGAAGCTCATTTCTTGCGGATGACGAAGCAGCGAGCTCCCTTCATTTATCGTCAGAGGAGATGATGGGAGGAAGCTCTCAGTGATTTCTTGTGGAGGATGAGGCATACAATCTTTCTTTTTGGAAGCTAGGGGAGCTCTGTCCTTTCTTGCTAGGAGCGAGGTCTCTTCAATCTCCTTAAGACGAAAAGGCGACATACCAAGAGGTAAGAAGGATGCTCTCTTTTGTTGCCACGAATATCCTGGGGACTCTCTTCTTGTTTTGGAGCATGAGGTCTTTTCCTTTTAAATGCTGAGGGATGACCAGATGTCTCTACGTGAAAATTGGGGGAGCTCCACCCTTTCTTCTTGAGTGTCCTCCCCTTTTCAAGAAAGAAAGGAGGTCTCTTCTTGCCGAGGGGTAAACGGAGCCCTCTTCTTTCTCGTGAAGTTGGAGCGGCCTGTTTGCTTTGTTGAGATGGCGCTTTCTTTTGTCCCATTAGTTTGGAGGAAGCTCTCAGTCTCTTCTTGTCGAGGACGAGGCAAAGGATTTTTTTGGAAGCTAATTCAGAGGATGGGGTAGAGGGCTGCTCATGTCTTATTGAAGGCTAAGGGGAGGATCAGACTCGTCTTTTGAAGATTGAGACAGCTCAGTCCTCACTTCTTGAAAGCTATCTCTCTTCTATCCCTTGAGGAGGAAGAGGGGACGACAAGGAGCTCCTCTCTCTTCTTGTCGACTAAGAGGCAGCCGGAGTTCTTTTTTTCTCGTGACGTTGGAAGGGTTCTCTGCTCCGCGGTAGAGGATGTGCCAAGGGATTTCCTTACCCTTTTGGGGAAAAGAAGCTCATTTCTTGCGGATGACGAAGCAGCGAGCTCCCTTCATTTATCGTCAGAGGAGATGGAGACTTACCAAGAGGTAGAGGAGCTCGCTGCTAGAAATCAGCTGAATGACTTGGAGAGACTTTCTCCGTGTTTTCGTTGAGGGTTGGGGGAAGCTCCACCCTTTCTTGAGCCGTCTGTCTACATTCCAAGGAGTCGTGGACATTCTGATTGGTTAAACATTACATTACATTCACACGAACTTTGGGCGCAAGTGGCCGCCGCTTGTATGTCGCAGTGTAATACGCAGCTAGGCACCACGAGAGCGCAGACATTTTCAACGATCAATTATGCAAGCATGGAGTCTGTGCCTACGTCACCCGTGTCATGGCGTGGTCTGTGGTGATGAGAATAAGCACTACTTGAATGCAAAAACACAGCCATCCAGCTGCCAAATAGACCCTATTTAAGCCGGCCACGGGGGGGGGGGGCCTGCCCTGGACCCATTGACGCAGTCGACGCTGTCTTGCGAAAGCTGCATTGCGCCTAGCCTCTGCATTCAGCAGTGATTGCTGTCCAGCACACCGACGGAGGGTGCAAAAAGCTGCTGAGTGGGTGTGGGGAGAAGTAAAAAACAAGTGCCCGTCGTCCTTACCTCCCTCGATGCTTTGATGACGCAAAATTATGGATTGCTTCATGTCATTTTGTCAAGGGTAATTCGCATCCTGCGCGGCATTTGTTCCAGTCCAGTCAGTCATGGCCGACTGGCTCCGCCGAGCCACGCACGACCTGGCACTGCGTGGAAACGCGAGTTGGTTCGGCCCCGGCTCGCGTATTCAGAGCGGAGAGGCCTCGATGCCAGAAGATCGGCTTGCAGCCACCGATGCATCTGCAGGTGCTCAGTTTGTGGACGATGCTGCTTCTTCATGTACTGTCAGCACATCATCATCGACGCAGCGTCGTGCGGATGCTGCTGCACTGCAACGCCTTGCGCGGTTTTTTGGCGGTGATGATCTAAGTTCGCAAAGCTCGGCCGATTTCAGCCCGTCCCGTGCATCATGCCGGCCTTGGTCGGCCTTCCGTGCTGCACGCATGACGTGGTGTGGCATTGCAGCGTACCTGAACCGAGCTGCACAGCGCTGCTTGGTGCCTGTCTGCCGATCCATTTGCCATTATTTGCAGGATCCACGCCCGCGATTGGACACCGTCTCCTGAAAGACCGCGGCATTGCCAGGAAGCTTGGCCACAAGGACAGGGCTCTCTTGCGAGTTATGCACTGCTCTGCCATGTTCACGGAACCGAATGGATGCTGTCTTGCGAGAAAAAACAGACCATGTGAGCTCGAACTGGTGCTTGCTGGTGCATGTCTCTCTAGCTCTGAGGCTGGAAGTGCCTCATTGCGTAGCTTGGGTTCAAATTGCCTTTTGTTCTTAGTGTTTCGGCGGTGCTCTGAGTGAACGCTGTCTTGCGAAAGCTCAGTGTGCAGCTGGTGCTCTGGGTGAACGCTGTCTTGCGAAAGCTCAGTGTGCAGCTGGTGCTCTGGGTGAACGCTGTCTTGCGAAAGCTCAGGGTGCTGCTTGCCTGCCTCGCCGATGGCGCAGAACAACCTGATTGATGGCACCTTGGCGCGCCTCACTAAGCAGAACCACGCTTCCATGAAGGTTTTGCTTCGCTACGTCTATTGTGAAATCAAGCAAATGCCCAATGCCACAGGAGGTTCCTGGTGCAAAATGATTCTGCGCTTCGTGGACAGAGACGGCACGGGTCTGTACGCGGAGCTTCGCGCGTCGGACGCCAATGCTCTGAAGAAGGTGGCTGATCCCTGGAGCAAGGATGTCTTCTATGCCACGCACCTCGAGCCGGTCAGTAACAAATTCTTCGCTGGGCTCTATGTGGATTTGTCAGACAGAGCATCGAGGGCCACAGTGATTCCGGTTGCTTCTTCCCACCCGTCGGCGATGGAGATGAAGACCCTCTTCCCCGTTGCAAGGTCGGACTTCTCGGTGTTGGCGACACAGTGCCAACACCGAGAGCGTGTGGATGTCATTGGACTGGTCACGGAGCTCGAGATGCCGAGTACGATCAAGCTCAAAGCCAATCTCTGGTTGAAGGACGCATCGGGCAAGGAGATGCTGGTGAACATCTGGGGCGTCCGCTTCGTAAAGAGTTTGGTTGACGCGCACGAAGGTAGCGTCGTTCGGATCGACAACCTTTCCCTGCTGAAGAAGGAGAACAATTCCATCGAAGGCACCGCGGAACATTTCGTCGACAACGACAAGCACGGCTTTAGTATGCTGCACGTGGACCCCAAAGGCGATCGGGCACAGGAGCTTCGGAATCTGGGCACGTCACAAGCCGATCGCATCTCCGTTCCTTGGTGCCCTTCCTTGAGTGGTGGCGGCAGGCTGATCTCCGACTTGGAGCCTTGCTACGTCGCATGCGCCGCAACTATGAATGCATTCGGCAGCGCAAAGGAGCAGGGAGCAACGCAGGACTGCTTTCGTGTGTTTCTGATGTGTAGAAGCTTCTTTCCTGTGCCCCAACTTGCATGATTTTGCTTGGCGCAGGAGAAAGTGCCCACCGTGGAGGAGGGGTACAAGGACGAGGAGAAGCACCTGGTGAGGAAGCACGAAGAGGCGTTGCAAAGCAACAAACGATCTGGCAGCAGCCTCGTACAGGAGACGCCATCGAAAGTGAAGTGCAGCGCTTGGGACATGAACTGAACCTCCTGGAAGCGAGGGTAGAGTCTTGCGAAGGTCCCCGTGCGGAGCAGTCGACGCTGTCTTGCGAAAACTGCATTCCGACAGTGGGCTGCGTTGACTCAAACTCCTCGAAGCGAGGGTGGAGTTTTGCAAGGGTCCCCGTGCGGAGCAGTTGACGCTGTCTTGCGAAAGCTGCATTTCGCCAGTGGGCTGCATTGACTGAACCTCCTCGAAGCGAGGGTGCAGTTTTGCGACGGACCCCGCGCGGGGCAGTCGACGCTGTCTTGCGAAAGCTGCATTCCGCCAGTGGGCTGTATCTAGCCTCTGCACGTAGCAGTGATGTTCTAAAGCCGCTGATTGAGTCTTAGATGCGCGATTCTCTCGGCCTTGACGCGAAAAAAATGCTGTTTGTTCCATGGCGTCTTGTCAGGTAGGAGCGAGCTCAGGCAGCTTCATTGATAGCGAAGGCGAATCTTGGCTGTTCCTGCTCGCACTGCCATGTTCACGGATCCGAATGGATGCTGTCTTGCAAGAAAAAACAGACCGTGTCAGCTCGAACTGGTGCTTGCTGGTGCATGTCTCTACCTCTTAGGCTGGAAGTGCCTCCCCTGGCTGCGTAGCTTGGGTTCAAATTGCCTTTTGCTCTTAGTGTTTCGGCGGTGTCCTGGGTGGACGCTGTCTTGCGAAAGCTCAGTGTGCAGCTGGTGCTCTGGGTGAACGCCGTCTTGCGAAAGCTCAGTGTGCTGCTAGCCTGCCTTGCCGATGGCGCAGAAGAACAACTTGATTGAAACCACCTTGGAGCGCCTCACTAAGCAAAACCACGCTTCCATGAAGGTTTTGCTTCGCTACGTCTACTGTGAAATCAAGCAAATGCCAAATGCGAGAGGAGGTTCCTGGTGCAAAATGATTATGCGCTTCGTCGACAAGGAAGGCAAGGGTCTGTACGCGGAGCTTCGCGCGTCGGACACCTCCACTCTGAAGAAGGTGGCTGATCCCTGGAACCAGGATGTCTTCTATGCCACGCACCTCAAGCCGGTCAGTAATAACAAATTCTTCGCTGGGCTCTATGTGGATTTGTCAGACAGAGCCTCGAGGGCCAAAGTGATTCCGGTTGCTTCTTCCCACCCGTCGGCGATGGAGATCAAGACCATCTTCCCCCTTGCAAGGTCGGACTTCTCGGTGTTGGCGACACAGTGCCAAGGGCGCGAGCGTGTGGATGTCATTGGACTGGTCACGGAGCTCGAGATGCCGAATACCTCCAAGCCCAAAGCCAACCTCTGGTTAAAGGACACGTCGGGCAAGGAGATGCTGGTGAACATCTGGGGCGACCGCTTCGTAAAGAGTCTGGCTAACGCGCACAAAGGTAGCGTCGTTCAGATCGACAACCTTTCCCTGCTGAAGAAGGAGAACGATTCCATCGAAGGCGCCGCGGAACATTTCATCGACAACGACAAGCACGGCTTTAGTATGCTGCACGTGGACCCCATAGGCGATCGGGCACGGGAGCTTCGGGATCTGGAACCCACGCAAGGCGATCGCATCTCTGTTCCTTGGTGCCCTTCCTTGAGTGGTGGCGGCAGGCTGACCACTGACTTCGGGCCCTGCTACGTCGCATGCGCCGCAACTATGAATGCATTCGGCAGCGCAATGGAGCAGGGATCAACGCAGGACTGCCTTCGCGTGTTTCTGTTGTGTAGAAGCTGCTTTCCCGTGCCCCAACTTGCATGACTTTGCTTGGCGCAGGAGAAAGTCGAAGTGGCCCTGCACAACGTCTGGCTCGTCGACATCGTTGGGGATCCAGTCTATACTCCGTGCAAAGTGTGTTCCACGAAGATCGACCCAACTTCCGGTAAGTGCAAGCGTGCCACCGATGGATGTCAGACGGAGCCTGCGGATGCCCAGCGAGTGCTGGCCACCGTGCACTTGGCGGACTGGACGGGGCAGCTCAGCAACGTGCTTGTGGGAGGACCGGAGCTGGCGGCGCTGGCCCGGGTCCGTGACGAAGAGAAGCTGGTTGAGTTGATCCAGTTGAAAGGCAGTGAGGCAGTCTGCTTCAGGGGGCCGTGCGACGCACGGCTGGGCACGTCGCACCGCCTCGGCCAACCGCGGGGGGGCTCCGCGCAGCAAGCTTCGCAGGCGAGTGTGACCGGCGGACTTGCTGCCCCGACCCAGTTTCAAGTCTTGGCAGCTCGCGCCTGCTTCGGGGAGGAGTACGACGAGGACCGGCGTCCGATGGTGAAAAAGGTCACCCGTCTTGCGACCGAGAAGCGAGATGGTGCTGTGCTGCCAGTCCAGTGTCCGATTGCCGATTTGATGTGCTCAGACATGGGCACCTTCTTCAAGTTAGGCGGTGTCTTCGCAAACTACGTGACCGTTGTGGCCTTTGCCGAGGACGAGCCCACCGTGGAGGAGGTGTTCAAGGACGAGGAGAAGCACCTGTTGACGAAGCACAAGGAGGTGTACTCGCACACGCTCGAGCGTGTAGGAGACAGAAAGGCATTCGGGATCGAGGCTTTTTGTCAATTCACAAATTGCTTCCTCTTCAACATGGCAGACGGCCTTCCGCGCTTGATCTTGGGCCGTGTGATCAAGAATGCTGCAACCCAGGAGGTGGTTTTGCAGGTGGAATGGATGTCGAAAGTGACACCTGAGCAGATCAAGACATTCTCGAGGGAGCGTGAGATGGTCTGGAACCTCCTCAAGGGCGGACCGGCGTTGCAAAGCAACAAACGACCTGCCAGCAGCCTCGTGCAGGAGACGCCATCGAAAGTGAAGTGCAGCGCTTGGGAAATGAACTGAACCTCCTGGAAGCGAGGGTAGAGTCTTGCGAAGGTCCCCGCGCGGAGCAGTCGACGCTGTCTTGCGAAAGCTGCTTTCCGTCAGTGGGCTGCGTTGACTCAAACTCCTCGAAGCGAGGGTGGAGTTTTGCAAGGGTCCGCGTGCGGAGCAGTCGACGCTGTCTTGCGAAAGCTGCATTTCGCCAGTGGGCTGCATTGACTGAACCTCCTCGAAGCGAGGGTGCAGTTTTGCGACGGTCCCCGCGCGGAGCAGTCGACGCTGTCTTGCGAAAGCTGCATTCCGCCAGTGGGCTGTATCTAGCCTCTGCACGTAGCAGTGATGTTCTAAAGCCGCTGATTGAGTCTTAGATGCGCGATTCTCTCGGCCTTGACACGACAAAAATGCTGTTTGTTCCATGGCGTCTTGTCAGGTAGGAGCGAGCTCAGGCAGCTTCATTGATAGCGAAGGCGAATCTTGGCTGCTCCTGCTCGCATGCTACATTCTTCCACGCAGCTGCTGAGTTAGATTCCGTTCTTCGTGTCTGTTTGGCGCCATGGATCCCCATCCTGGAGATGCAACTACATCCACGGTGGAAGGTCCGGACCAAGCGCAACAGGATTCTCGCGAGGATGGAGTTGGATCGGACACCAGCGCGAATGCAAACGTGTACCCCACTCCAGTGAATTATGAGGTCCTTGTGCATACATTTCAAGGTCAGCTGAACAACATGCTGCTGGATCAAGCGCGAATGAACGTGCAGTTAGCTGAGCTGATGCGTACCATGCAAGATTGGTCTCGGGAACACGAAAGGATCGTGCAGCTGCTGCGCAGGATCCAAGAAATTATGGACCCGGAGTTCGCGCCGGGAATGCCGTTGCACGGCTTCCGTGCGCCTTGAGGTCCCTTTGTTTCTGCAGGTCACTGACCTGTTCGAAGCAACGATAGTATTGTTTTGCAAAAAGTCCCCACGCGGAGCAGTCGACGCTGTCTTGCGAAAGCTGCATTTCGCGAGTGGATTGCGTGTCTGGCCTCCGCTGTCGGTTTCCAACCGACAGCGGAGGGGCTCTTCCGGGGCTCTTCCGGCATCCTAGGCAGCCTTGCAACGGAATGTAAAGCTGGGCGTGTCCTGCGACGCACATTCGAATCGACACCGACCTTGACATTCCTGCTTCAGCTGCACAACCGGCTCAAGCTCGGCGCGATGATAGCAGTTTAGATGTCGGCTCCCGTGGCCATCACTGTGGCGCTGCTATGGACCTCGGGCGCTGATAGTTTGGAGTTGCAAGGCCTGCCTGGAAATGTGAATCGTCTCATTGGTGAGTATCTGGATGCGAGGATGTCCTTAGGATACCCCGAGTACCTTTTCCCACCCAACGAGCCGGACTTCGACTTCCCGCAGATTCAAGTGAACACGGATGTGCTTTATGTAGTGTACTGGCTCCTTTGGCCTGTCTTGCGAGACCTGGAAAACAGGAGACAAGGTGACTGGAGACAAGGTGTAGTTTTTGTCTTGTGAGAAGGATATGCCGACCCTCTCAATCCTTGTGCTGCAGGTCACGGACCTGCAGCAAGCGAGGGTACGGTTTTGCAAACGTCTCACACGGAGCAGTCGACGCTGTCTTGCGAAAGCTGCCTTCCGCCAGCGGGCTGTGTGTCTAGCTCGCGGCCAAAGCTGCTGTCGCGCGAGACCCAATCACCTGGACCATTACTGTAGCACATGCATCATCCAGTGGTAAAATCACCGAGATTATCAAGGTAATCACGGAAACGTCTGAGGACGAGATCGTGGAAATGATCAGCCTGGAGAATGGCAGGAAGTGAGGGATCGCGTGGAGCGAATTGTCGTGACCGGAGTGTTCTCTCTGCTTGCTTGTATTGACAGCTTTGGCCCGAGAGACCTAGTTCCTTCGAGCCTGCTTGCTACTTTGCACATATGGATGCCCTGGCCGCTTCTTCGTCTTCTGCTTCTTCTGCTTCGTCGGCGATGTCAGATGCGGAAGAAACATTTATTCGAACTTGGCAGCTCGAAATTGCAAACAAATACGAGCATGGACCTTGGTCGGACATGGACTACATTGTTTGGGGCGAGTCCTACAACTTCGGGGACATCTCGGAGTGGCCTCTCGACGCTGTGGTGGTGAGCTCCGAGCCCGGCGAGAAGTGTCTGCTCGGCAGCTTGCGCTCGGCTGCGGACCTCCACAATGTGGAGTTGCACACGAAAGTTCCTGTTACAGTTGTTGTCA